ATGAGTATAATAGAACTCTTCCTTTACTTGTATTAGGACTCTAAGCTAGTTATATTCTATTTAGGAATAGAACACCTATTTTATTTAAATCTCTTGTTGATTATTCTAATTATATTAGATAATTAGAAGTAGAGTTTTATTAGAATGTGGGCCTATAATACTATAAATAAGATCTTTAAGCTTAGTTATGGGACATCTAAGTTGAGAGTTAATAAATAATATTTTCTTAAACAGGAATGCTTATTTCTCTAGGCTTTTTTTAAAAAGTAAGAGACTTTAGTATCTTTGGCCTAGCCAACTAAAGTGGGATTTTGGCTACTCTTCACCTTAGTGGGGTTTTCTAACCTTGCCAAGATTGGTGGTTAACCTTAGTGGGATTTTTAACCATGCCATGATTGGTATTTTTCATAATGCCCAAGTGTCTTTTACAATGACCCAACGTCAGTTTGGTATCAAAACAGGAAGATCATTATTCATTATGTAGTTTAAGTTCGTTAACGGGTTTCGACACTTCTTGTTCGGATAATTCTATTTTTTTTATTATTTTATAGTCATATCATCATCTTTTTTTTTCTCTACATCACCACATCGTCATCACCATATAATAAATTGACACCAAGACGTCAAAATTGTCAAAGAGATGATCATGAGATCGAGATTGCAGAACTACGTCATCAAATTCAAGAATTACAAGAGCAACTAGCAAGACGTGATGCTTAAATCAACAATAGCAACTGTAGTGATGAAGAGAATGACACCATCCCATTCCATCAAAATTCATCCTCTGATGAAGAAGTACCTATTCGTCGCCTGAGAACTGCTGCTACCAGAGATTTGGGAATTAAAGTTGACATTCCTGAGTTTGAAGTAAGATTTCATCCTGATGGCTTCCTTGATTGGCTTTACACAATGGAAAGAGTTTTCAAACTCAAAGATATTCTCCATGAAAAACGTGTGAAGCTTGTGACAATTAAATTAAAGAAACACGCTTCTATTTGGTGCAAAAATCTCAAAAGGCAATGAAAAAGAGAAGATCACAACAAGATCTGTACATGGGATAAAATACGTCAAGAAATCAAGCATAAGTTCATTCCTGAGCATTATCGATAAGAAATTTTTATCAAATTTCATAACTTGAGGTAAAAAACAATGTTAGTGGAAGAATATACAATGGAGTTAGAACAACTTTACATGAAGTGCAATGTCCATGAGCCTTAAGAACAAACTGTAGCTCATTATCTTAATGGTCTCAATGTTGAAATTGCATATGTTATTCAACTACAACCATATTGGAACTTAAATGATGTCATAAGATTAGCATTAAAAGTTGAGAAACAATGATTACAAAAAGGCTCAATGAGTTTATCTAGACAACAAGAATCTATCTCAAACCATGAAAGTCAAAGTTCAGTAACTATTCCACCTCCAAGGGTAAACTCTTCCAAAGCTCCAAACAATAATGAGACTACTTCTCCTTATTCTTCTAATGTGAACAAATAGTGCTTCAAATGCCAAGGATTTGGGAATATTGCTTTTGATTGTCTGAATTGAAGAATTATTTCCTTAGTAGAAGAAAAAGATTGTGTGAATTGAGAAAAATTAAAACCAGTTGATAATGAATATGATGATGAAATAAAGGATGAGCTAGAAATATTCAATAACGAAGAGATAAAAGAAGTTTCTGCTGACCATGGAGAAGCTCTTGTTGTTCGTCATAACCTTAACACTACTATGATGACAGAAGATGAAAGTTGGTTTCTTCATAACATATTTCATACAAGGTGCACATCCCAAAGGAAGGTTTGTAATGTCATTGTTGATAGTGGAAGTTGTGAGAATGTCGTTGCCAACTACATGGTGGAAAAGTTGAAACTTCCAACTAAAGTACATTCTCATCATTACAAGTTACAATTGCTGAGAAAAAGAAACTAAGTTAAGGTAACAAAGCATTGCTGTGTTCAATTCTTTATTGGAAATAAGTATGAAGATGAAGTCTGGTGTGAAGTTATCTTAATGGACACATGCCACTTGTTGTTAGGATGCCTATGGCAATATGATCGTCGAGCTCACCATGATGGATACAAGAATACTTATTCCTTCATTAAGGATGGAGTAAAAATTATATTGACTCCATTAAAGCCAGAATACTGACTAAAGAGACGAGAGGAAGATAAAGCACGTATCACTATGTCTGGCTTAAACAAAGCTTATTGTGAATTAAACCATTTACGTCTCTTATTAGTCTCTAAGGAGAATGAAGTATTTTCACTTTTATCCAAGCCTGGTCAAACAAAATTGGTCAACAAAAGTTTGGAAAACTTATAAAGTAGCTTTGTAAACAACCATGCCATTAATAAGACTACAGTTAAGTATGATTTTCCTATCCCTCGATTGGATGACATGCTCATTGGTTTTAAGGTGTTTTTGAAGATCGATTTGAAGAAAAGATATCATCAAATTAGAATGCGACTTAGAGACGAATGGGAGACAACCTTGAAAACACCAGATGAGTTATTTCAATGGTTGGTATGGACTATGATAATATGTGGATCCAAATGTGGAGTATGTCAAGGCTTACTTGTCAGAGTCGAGTTTTTCTAACCCAAGGAGAATGGAACAGGAGTGTCTGGGATTATATTTTATTTAATTTAGTTTTTTGCTAATTTTAATTGATTTAGGAATTATAAGTATAATAGAATTCTTCCTTTACTTGTATTAGGACTTTAAGCTAGTCATATTCTATTTAGGAATAGAACACTTATTTTATTTAAATCTTTTATTAATTATTCTAATTAGATTAGACAACTAGAAGTAGAATTTTTTTAGGATGTGGGCCTATAATACTATAAATAGGACTCTTAAGTTTAGTTATGGGACATCTAAGTTGAAAGTTAATAAATAATATTTTCTTAAGCAGGAGTGTTTATTTCTGTAGGCTCTTTTTAAAGATTAAGAGGCTTTAATATCTTTGGCTTAACCAACTAAAGTGGGATTTTGACTACTCTTCACCTTAATGGGATTTTCTAGCTTTGTCAAGATTGGTAGCTCATCTTAGTGGGGTTTTTAATCTCACCACGATTGATATCTTTTACAACGCTCGAGTATCTTTTACAACGCCCCGACGTCACCCAAGCAAGTCTCATGGTTCATTTCAATAATCCTTCATACATGGACAAAATATGGAGATGCATCTCAACGTATATGTACAATATGAATATACCAAATAGAATGTACTTCATGATTAATATCCGTAATCTAAAACAATCAAAAGACTGTTAGTGACAATATCCGCAAGTCATGAATACAAAACACATTTATTATCCACTGCTATTGGCCAAGTGTAACAACTGTATTTAAACACAAGTAATATACTGACAGACTTGTCCAACGGAGAACAAGTGTAGGGTAGCCATGGTAAACTGAGAGCCTATATTTTTGTAAGGGCCTTGACTCGGGCAATAAATTCTGTGTAAGTTTGGCCTGTATACTTCTTACACCAGAACGGCCACTGATCACGATCTACCTAGGTAGGCTCGATTTTCTACCTAGGAGTAGGCCTATACAAAGGGCTGCTTTCGCGCTTTCCAACTTGGGGGGCTGATAATGCTCTAGTCGATCTTGGGCCACAAGCCGCTCGTTATTTCTAACTTATGTCTCATCCACTTTTGTGGAAGGTTGCTCTGGCCCCCAGCATGGTTGTAGGACAATTTCTCAATGGGTTCTTCAAGAATTTTCCTACTGATAGTTGTCTCGTTTCTTCGGACATCAGTATTTTTGTTAACCAATTTGGCCATGGCCCTTATGTTTTCTCGAGAAGATTTCTATTTTGCCACACTAATTCTATCAAGCATGTTAATTATTTTTTGTATAAGAAATATCAAAGTGTGACCTCCACCCTTCCAAACGAAAAGCTAGTAGGAGTGGTCTTATTAAAAGGCACCTTAGGTAAATTGATCAAATGATTTCGACCTTGGGAAGATGTCTCGACCAATGGTCCCTTTTGAAGCTGCAATGAAGCTTAAACCATTAAAAGTGAATAATCAAAATAGCATAATGATAGACAGAAACACAAAGTAACAAATCTGATAAATATAATTGAAATTAAAGAAAACTGCAATAGACATATTACTCAAATGAATGAGGTTTAAATCGTGAAAGTTGCACAAACTTAAAAGGCAATTTGTTGGGGTTGATTGAATTGATTGAAAAGTACTCGACAAGCTTGCAAAACACAAGAAATAACCAGAATGGCTGTCAGAGATAGAGATTTAAAAGATTGCTTACTAAGAGTTTAATGACAAAATAGCTAATGTAGCCAAGATAACATATTTTTTTTAAAGCCAAGGACTTGGATAATTGAGTTTTGACTTGTGTTGAGATGTGTGAGTCATAGGAGTCTTTTCTTTGGTTCAGCATCAATATGCATAGAGCTCTTGGTTTTATAGGATCATGCCACATGTCCTTGCTTTCACTTTTGCCATTAGATCTATACCATGTTTGCCAACACTATTTTAGCCATTTTCTTACAAATTTGGTGCAAAGAAAGCACCTTCATCCAGAAATGCAACCACTGCCTCCACTTTCCAAGTCTAGTAGCTGAATTTTAGTAATAGCTAGTTCTGCCATCACGCGTAATAAGCTAATTCTGCCGGTTAGACGTTTGTGGCTCTGCCAACTGAGCTCTCATGTGTTTATCTGGTCAAACTCGTACTTTAACATGGACTCTTAGGGTACTACAAATATCTTTTGCAATCTCCTAAAATCTTACTAATACTTGGGGCCAAAGAAAAGAACCACTAACCCTTACCTATTGATTTAATTTATAGTTTATATGTCTCATGACATAGCATTTACGAGATAATAAAAATGTCCATCACATTAAAAAATTTCCTAATTATATAGATTAATTAACAGGGAGAAATTCTTAAAATTTGCAATAGGCCCAGACGCAACAGCTAAAATTCTAAGACCTCATTACATATGCCTGAACAATAACCAAGTATGGGGAAATAAGAACTAACTGAATTTTGCTGAAATTAAAACTTGAATGGTACACAAAACTAGAGCAAATAGCCCTGCCCATCTAATGATTTACACCATTTTAAACGCCCCAAGGATGAAATAGAAATGGAAAATTTATCTTGCACCTCCTAATCCGTTCTGAAAGGAGACCATGATGCAAGCGCACAACATTTTTTTTTTTTTTTTGAGGATAGCAAGGGGATTACTCTATGAAAAGAAGTAAAGAACACAAAATACTATAAAGCAACTCTAGAAATAATAAGAAGTAAATAACAAACAAAAATCTAAAAATAATTTAACATGTATTGCTCATGCTTATCGAACTAGAAAAGGCAGCAATGCAGCACAAGGTAATTTCAATCCTGCTTGTTCCGAGAAAGCCTTGCACGGTGTCTGAGCTCGGCTTTTTTCCACCTAACTATTAGGAAACACATGGTAAAGAGAGTATTTATCTGCAGAAAGAACCAGAGGTTAAGGTTTAGAGAGAGGTAAAAAGTTTTCAAGCAAAAGGAGCACAGGAAAAGGAGTTCCTGAACACTCACCAAGATGATGATTGCAATAGCGAGAAGAGGCCCAGACCACAGTACTGATAAAAAAAGTCCACTTGGATCAAAATAATTTTGGGTTGCAAACCTCTTCCAGTTGTCACCAAGGAATTTATTGAGCGTCTCAGCAAGATATACACCAACCACTACAAGACATCATGAAGCATATAAGCTAGAATTGCCAAGAATATTCAAACTAAATTGAACTACAATATTGTTTTCACATTGCATGGATGTTTGGTGTGCATGTAACACAATAGAGACTAATTTGCTAGAAAATAAACAACAGAGATGACTTTTTGTGCAGACACGCAGTTGAGGGCTAACTGTTTCGGAATGCTTTATGACATTGAAAGGCTTCTATATTGGTGCTAATGGTCCTAGGCAGCTTGATGACATTAAAAGGCTTCAATATTGAGTTACTGCTGGTTACTCAGGTAAGTTCTATTCAGTAAGATTTATTAATCAAAATTTCCAACAACTGTAAAAAATGTAAATAAATATATGACTTGCAACCCATAAACGGATGTATACGGGCTGCAGAGCAGGTATAATGACTTCAACCTTTTTCTCTCATGGCCCCCTCAATGGCTAGATGATCTTCATCCCAAAATTTCAGCTGTGTTGAATCCAAGGATACTCATAAAAAAAATATAAAAAAAAAAGACTCTGAGATTGGCTGCGGTAAAGGTTCATAGCCTTATAGCCATCTATACTATTGACCACGTCTCATGGTGAGATAATTTGGATTAAAAGTTTCAACTTTGTTTTCTACTTTATTGACTCCACAGATGGCTTAACCAAAGAAATTTTAAAAACAAATTCTGAAACTGAGTCTTATTTCTTGGATCCCTTGCTTGAGGCCAACAACTAGACATCCTAGTTAAAATTTAAACATTCACTTGTATGGAAGGTTGCTACTTTATGTCCCATATCTACAAAGATGACTATCAAGGTTATAGGGCTAAGAGGCTAGAAGCAGACATGCAAGAAAGTGTACATACCCTAAATATGAAGATTAACAGGGGTTCTTTTGCCTATCAAGCCATCTACTGTTATTATTTGAAAACTATTCAGAGTTCTTTCCAGTAAACATCACCATTCTATGGATATCTTCTCAAACACTAGGCTTCTGTCTCCCAATCCAACTTCGCATGCAATGATGGACAAAAGCCCTAGATTTGAAACAGGACCTCTAAAACTTTTAGGGTGGCTATAGAATGAGAACCATCTTTTGCTGCACTAATTATTTATTTCTGCTTGTTCTTTCATTATTTATGCATCTTGGTGTACATTTTGAGCTGAGAAGAAAATTTGAAATGAATGCATCCTTCTCACCTTCTGGAATTGAAGATTTCATGCATCCAAAGCACACTTTACTTTAAAACAAAGGTGTAATTGGGACATCTCTATTCATTAGAAATTTTAAATAGCCTTGTACATTGTTCTTATTCACTGAAGAGGTGGGCTCAAGGAAACTCTATTAATTGTTAATTGAGAGAATACAGACTTGTCAATGACTATTGGGCCAACCATGATCAAACTGCAAGGTCTTTATGACTTATTAATGTGCAATATTACATATGTCCTTGATCATTCAACCACAAGAAGACAGTTTATGTATTAAGCTTCGGACTTAAATTAAGCAAGTAATCAATATGATTGATACACAAAGTACTATAGTCATGAGGAGAGATCTAAATACTGATATAACAATGGTGATTGGAGATAACAAGGCACCAAACTTACACGCCAGAAGGAACAAACACATCTGGAAGTTAGTATTCTTCCTTGAGAAGATTGTTATTATCAGTAAGACAGCATGGAATGCCAGTAAGCAGATTAACCATGGTTCCTACCAACAAGAGCGAAAAAACAAAGTGGGTTAGCAAATTGTTCTGAATAGAAGCTAGATAAAGAACTCAAGTGAGATCAAGTCAGATTAGCACCCCAAACCCTGTCATGCTTCAAAAATATAATAAAAACACAAAACAAAAGAACCTTTAACATTGCAGCTATGTTGTCATATTGAAAATAAGGACAATTCCTAAGACCTGATGATAAACAACGAGTCATCCAAATGATGATATTTTTGGCTTTAAGCATCCCATTTGAAGAGTTTCAATTACTCACAACCATGCATTAAAGCTAGATTCATGTTAGGAATAGCTGAACTCGTAAATTTAAGATGAAAAAGCTCAAAGTAAGATTAATCTCACAAACCATGCACCAAATGTTTAGTTTGAAAACCATATATCAACATTATAATAGAGCTGCAACCATCTAACTCGAAACTGCCTTCCCACTGGATAGATCAGGTCGAGAATTGGAATAGGACATCATTTCCAATTCAAACTAAGATTTAGAATTGTTGCAATCAACAATTTAATTGATATTTTTGGCATTATGCAATCAAATTACATGCTTCAAAATAACATTTTAAAAAAAAATCTACTTTTTCTTTACTCCTATTTTTTTTGAAACAGAATTTTCACAGCCGATTTTCCTCTCAAATTTTACTTCTTAACCATTAAGGAACATTCTGTTCGGTTACTGAGAAAATGCTGACGAGAAAATAATCAAAAGCACTCATTCCAATCTCAAATATCCAGATTTTGTAAGTCCCCTCAAAATTTCCTCGGTTTCTCGGGAATCAAAAAGAAAACAAAGAGAGTATACCTTCCAGTCGATGGCGTGGAAGAATCCTATGAAGTTATTGTAAGCGGGTCGGAGGCCCGAACGGAGTTCCGAAGATAGCTTCTGAACTAGATCCGCCATTAATTCCATGTGCTCCCCCACAGCTGATCTCACCTCTTCCATTGCTTTTTCTTTTTTGATCAGATTTAGATCTTACAAATTAAAGGTCAGCAAATAACGCTCAGATTGGCGGACTCTTTTCTCCTATATATTCATCATTTGAGTTTCTCTTCTGCACTTTGGAAGAAGAAGAAAGAAAGAGAGCAGGAAGAGGTGCGGCTGTTCTGGGGTTTATGATGAATTGACAAAAAAGTCCTTAATATTTTGTTTCAAGTACTTTTATGTCCTTACGGGAAAGCTTACGTCGTGGACGGTATGGGCAAATCCAAGCACCGTGGAAAGCAAGAGGAAAGCGATTGAAAATTTGAAGAAAATGAAATGAAAAACAAATTCTATCAAACCAAATAAGCCATCCAATTGCCCTTTTCAAAATCATCAGTAACAACAATCGATTCAAATTTGGCCAAAACCCCAATAAAAATAAGTAATATTAGCTTGTTTTGATGGGTACGTTAATACTTTTACGGATAATTGTGTGAGATAATTTCTTTAACCCTCAAATACAAATTGCTTTTCAAAATAATCTTTTCTATAATTTTGATTATTTTTAACTCAGAGATAATGTTTTTAAACAAAAATACCCTTAAATGAAGACTTCTCAATCACGCATGCAAATAGATGAAAAAAATAAATAATACCAAAATTTAGTAAAAGATAATTTGTTAAAAATAAAATATTCCTCTGTTGCATGTATGACAATGATTTTCTTTGATTTAGTAGACATTATCGTAAAGAGAAACGATAAATATATAACAATGCAGAAATATTAAACGATCTTTTTACTTATTCTGAAAAGATTGGGAAGTGTTCAAACAAGTTGAGAATAAACCTAACAGTGACAAAGAAGAAATTGGCAACATAGAGTAAGTTAGATAATGTCAATTCTTTTATTTTTTTGAGTTTTGAGTGGGTTTTGTGATTTGAATTCCATATTGGTTAAGAATGTATTGATCCCGTTGGTATGCTAGAGGTAGATGAATAGTACTAAAAATTTTAAAGTTAGCTCTTTTCAACTTATAGAGCTCTTAATCAATTAAAGAAAGGAAAGTTTAAAACTTGGTATAGTTAAAAGACGCCAAGTAAGCAAAGGTAGAGAGAAGTAGACAATGTACAAGTATTTATAGTGTTTCAATCCTTTTGACCTACATCCACTACCTTGATCTCTTAATCAATGATTTTTAACCTAATTTCACTATACCAGTGGAATTAACAGCTTCCACTAAGTTTTACAATAGGAGCTTCTCACCTAAGTTCTAATCCCTCATAATAGTCTTTAGTACCTGTTTGACTTGGCTTATATTTAGCTTATTTACTACTTAAAAATAGAAGTTGGATCAGCCAAGATTTTGTAAAAACTCTTAAAAAAATAACTTTTTTTAAAGAATAAAATCTAAAAAACAAAAGTTTAATAAAAAGCTCCAATTAGGAGTTTTCTCTCCTCTTTTTTTTTTTAAAAAAAAAAACACGTCAGCTTATTAGAAGAGCTATTTTACCTAAGAAGATCCTCTCTTTTAAAAAATACCCCTCTCTTTCCCTATCGATCTGCCTCTCCTTTTTCCCTTTCTGCAAATCATCATTTTAAGATTTTTTTTTTGTTCTTACAAAAATTAAGAAAAAGGAAGATTCAAAATTCAAAATTGCATTCAGATATTATTCTTCTTTTTCTTTCTATTTTGTTTTTCATTTTATTTTCTATCTTTGTTTTTTTGGACTTGGAAAACTCTCTTTATTAGTTGATATTTCTCAACTTATTATTTGATATAGTAATTATGTGATATTTATTTATTCTTAACTTCTTTATATTGTATATAATATTTGATTATTATAATTAGAATAATTAATTAAATAGGTCAATGGTTATTGAGATAAATTAGATGAAAATTAAAATAATATTTGTTTATTATGGTTGTTGAGAACATATTGTTTATGGAAGTGAATTTTGTTGATAAGGATATCAATAGCTAAACATAATTTTCCTAAATTATTATACCACACTAGACTTCTCTTCTTCTTTTATGGGTTCTCCTTTATTGTTAGGGTTAAGGGTTTTAGTAGTCAATTGAGTGCTTTCTTTCATCTCTCATTTTTTTATTTGATTCAATTTTTTTCTTGATTTTATTTATTTATTATTATTCAATAAAAAATTATCTATGAATTATGTGTTACTTATAAATTATTTGTTGAACTCTTTGTTTATAATTTATTATTAATTATAAACTTTATGTTATATAAAAATCCTTTTTATATTTTCAAAATTTTATTTTAAATAGATAAAAATAAGTTAATTTTTTTATTTTAAATAAAAAATAACATGATTAATAAAAAGTTATTTATTAAATACCCTTTATAGTAATTTTAACTAAAGTTAGAGTTTATATAAGTTGTTTTGCCAAATCTATAAAAAAGAGCTTATAAAAAGTAAATTTACCAAACAACTTTAATTTAATTCTAAAAGCTATTATTTTTCATAAGAGCTTTATAATAGCTTTTAAGTTAAAAAAAAACTAAGCCAAACGTGCTCTTAGGGTGCCTCTCACAGTCTAATTTCTAAAAAAAAAAAGTATAACTAATTACTTTTACAGATCTAGAAAGGTTACAATCAAGCTCAAACACTTTTTCAATGATAGGAATGAAAAACAAATGTTTTTGGTGAAGGTATTTTAGCTCTTTTGCTCAAAATGGCTCTCTAGTGTTTCAATCTACCTTCTTTGACCGTTGGAGCTTCAATTTATACTTGAGGAGATAAATTTTACTCTTCAAGATAAATTCTAGCCGTTAGGAACAACTCTGATGTCATTCTAACTGTTATTTTATCTTCTAATATTTAAATTTAAAAGGGCAAACAAAGTTCGGCTAACTAGTTATAGGCAGCTTTAATCGATTATAGCTTCTTTACCTTGGACTATCTTGTTGTTGTGTGCTCTATATTAACCGATTACCGGATGCTTTAATCGATTGAGAGATCTCTGTCTTTAGGCTTCTTTACTTCAATAGACTTTTTCTAACTGGTTAACTTTCCCCTTAATTTATTGGAGCTTCACTTTCTTCATTCTTAACTGATTAACACAAGCTCTAATCAATTAAAAATCTTTGAATTTGAATTTCTCAAGTTTAGCTCCTTTCAACGGTCAACCTTCACTTTAAATTTAAATTTTGACGCTTTAAAGATTCTTTAAATCTTGTGCTCTAAGCAATTAGCAGACCTCTATTTTACATTGTCTAGTACATTCTTAATTAGTTAAGCCTAGTGCTAACCGATTAAGACTCATTTGTCTTGTTTTAAACTAGCGCCCAATTATGCATTAGCTAGTTAAGGCTCCTTATTAATTAGTTAACACCGTTCTGTCTTTACTAGTCACTTTTTTCCTTTTTTCTTTAACTGATTGATTAACTCATTTTCAAATTTGGCAAGTATCTGGACTTGCCCTTAATTAACAAATTTGTTAGGGGAAATAAACTATATCCTGCATATTTAAATAATGAAGTTAAATATTAATAAATAAGAAATATTTTGTTATCATAAAAAATATAAGGAGTTAACATTCTTTCCTTTTTTTGATGATGACAAAACACTCTTAGATTATGAATGTAATGTCTTCAAAATAATAAACCTTTATGTGAAGATTTAGGGATTGCACCCCTAAAGTATATCAGTGTAAAGATATAAGCATTCATCATTAGAATATATATATATATATATATATTCATCCAATATTGAACCTATATATAATTAGTAGTTTAGCATAAAAACATAATACAAAACACAAACACATAAACATAAACATTGTTCATCTTATCCTTTTATTTTCTCCCCTATTTAATCACCAATAAAAAAAAGGACCTAAGTTTGGAGTTCCACTAATCAAAGTCTAAAGAAGCCTCATTCATTGATGATTCATCAATTCATAAGTGAACATTTAGAGGAGCAACATGGAGGGAATGAAGGGATTCAAGTTTAGATGAGGATCTAGAGGATATAAGTTTAGGGGATGCTAGTTTAAAGGTTGGTTTGGCAGTGGATTCAGCTATCTTGGTAGATTTCCTTCTTTTGAATACCTTGGTCTTTGTGGACTTTGTTTTTCTTCTTTTACCAATAGTTTTCTTAGGCACAAACATAGTGATTGTTGTTTTTCCCTTATCCTAAACTGTTTAGCATGCAATTTTCTCTTGGTGTTGTTGTGCTGACTAAGCTTCCTATTCCATTTTCTTCTTTTGGTTTGGCCTGGTCAGTTTCAACTTCCTTGAGAATTTTAGTGATAAAATCTGAAAGAACAATGCCTTCAAATTCTTCAAGGGAATTCTCTTCTGCCTTTATAGATACTGAATTTTCTTATTTAAGTTTGTATCATTCTCCATTATTTTTTGTTAATCATTTTCCTTTTCCATTTCTTCATCCTCCTTTTCTTTTTCAATTCCTTCAATTGGTTTTGCTTTAAGACTTACTTTAGTGCTTTGTTCTTTGTTTTCATTGTCAGCTTTCCTTTCACAACTTTATCTTAATGGTTAAATGCTTATAATTCAAACTGCTCTATGGCAATCCTCTCACTAGACACACTTGCAGCTATGGTTTGGTTGCTTTTTCTTGGAGAAAGAGATCTTCAAGATGTTATATTTTTTCCTTAATTTCAACTATCTTCAACTTGTTCAGTCAGCATTCATCAATCCTCATAAAAAGGTTCAATATCATTTTACCTTGATAGTGGGCTTGATTGACTCTAGCTTGAGGTGTTGAAGGAGTTTTAGTTCCAAGTGGGATTAAGGTGCCTCTAATAGATTTAATGCACTCTTTGCTCTCCAGCTTATATCTCATCTTCAATTCTCTCCCCAAGAAGATTCCCTGTTCTTCTTTTCTTATTAAATTAGCTTGAAATCTGATACTCCAAATCCCCTTTTTCTTAACAATTGATGTGATGATATTGCCATAAGACAAGTTAGCTTTGTTCCCTAGGTATGTCCCTCTGATTATCTCAATCATAAACTTGGCTACATTTAATGAAATTTCATTAAAAGTAGATTCCATGAGCCAAAGGTCTTGAGTACTTACATAACTAAACTGCAGCTTCTTCCATAAAGTATGGTAGCAATGAAATAATGCAAGATCTTGAGTTGAGCATTCTTAATCTCATTGGCATAGCTTCTAGAGAAAAACTTTTCTTTTCTTCCAA